GAAGAAGAAGAAGAAGAAGAAGAAGAAGAAGAAGAAGAAGAAGAAGAAGAAGAAGAAGAAGAAGAAGAAGAAGAAGAAGAAGAAGAAGAAGAAGAAGAAGAAGAAGAAGAAGAAGAAGAAGAAGAAGAAGAAGAAGAAGAAGAAGAAGAAGAAGAAGAAGAAAGCATCAACCAACTCACTGGACTGGATCTTACTGAAAGGTTTTTTTTACCAGTTTTGAGATAATACTCCTATTATTCAAAATGTCCACATCTTTCATCCCGGCAATTCTTAGACTGGCCAATGCATTTGCAGGTTGATGAGATGCAAGGAAGTGACGAACGAAAGTTTCTTCTTATTCCTAACTCTCCAGAAATTTGATGTGTGCTGTTTCTTTCTATGGATATACATTTAATTTCCACCTATTTTCTTTGTTCACAATTTTTAAGGATTGCTGAAATTGTCACATATATTCCTCACAAGATACACACAGTGTATGTCGACATCTCACTATGGATACTGAATTTTTAACTGAAAACAGTGATGAATCAAATGTTCAAGGTTTTTAAATTCTTTTTTGGGAATAAAATGCCCAACACCTTAAAAAATACAATAGCTCCTTTTATTGCCTCTTTTATCTGTGGCTGCCATACAGCGAAGTGTGCTTATTTATCAATGTAATCTTTTCGGCTCACATGGAAATTTGTCCATTAAAGCTTGCTGTTTATTCTTCTTGATTTGTAACAGACATTTGCACAATGGCCTTTTTTCAAATCCATTGGTACATCAATAGCACCAGGTCGTGTGTTTTTTTTAATGATCATTCAAAGAAGCTTCTTTTTTATTTAAATTGGAAGCAAAGGGTTTAGTAGGCTGCTACAGGCATTAGGAGAAGAGGTAGAAAAGAGAAATAGGTTTACAAAACCAAGTCAGAAAGTGTAGAGAATTGGTGATGGGCTCTCTGTCTGTTTCTTTCTCTCTTTCTCAATGCAGGAACTGCATCAACTGTTGATCCAGTCATGTATTTCCTTAGCATAATTTTTATACTCATAATTTCCTGGTCTACAGGAGAGGACTTATCCCTGGCAGAAGAGATCCCTTGTTCAAAGTATCAAGTGGCTTTCAATCACTCATGCTACGAATTTGTGAGACTCCAACGCACGTTCACAAGTGCCCAGAGCTGGTGTGAGAGAGGAGGTGGGCATCTGGCCTTTATTGGAAATGAAGGGACTCAAACATTCTTGGAGGAACACATCTCTGAGGACAAGGAGTGGTGGATCGGAATAACCTACACCTCTTCCAATGAAACCAATGAAGGTAAGAAGAACTGGGGACAGTTGTGTGTGCAGAAAGTTGTGGTTGGAACCCTAGATACAAATGTGAGAGGCAAATTGTAAAGGGAATGAGAAGCTCAGCTTCTGATGCATTTATGAACATATCTATGTAATTTTCTTGACAATGCTAAAGAAGTTTGTCACTCCTTCCTTCCTTCCTTCCTTCCTTCCTTCCTTCCTTCCTTCCTTCC